CTAATGCGATTGCATATTTCTTCAAATATGAGATAGACATTGCCTCAGCAACAAGGATGAACATGTTCTCCCCAAGATAATAGTCTCACGACATTTCAAGGATGGGATTGACTTAATCTTTTTAGTGTAATTTCACAATTTATATTGAAATGAATCTCCATGATCACTCTAGTGTTATTGCAAAATCTATCTTGGAAGGGATCAACACTATTTTCCAGTGCAATTTTACAACTTTTTAATGATGGGATAAATATGCCAACTCTCCTTGAAAGAGAAGGATTTAAAATCTCTCTAGTGGAATAGCACAACTCTTATTTGAAGGGATAAATCTAAAGCCTCCCTAGTATAATAACATAACTTCTTCTTTTTTAAGGGATGGATTTGAAGTTTTCCTGGTGTGATATCACACTCTCTTTATATTTATTCCTTCCACTTTTTATAAATTTTTTAAGTATAACTGTCAACATAAGTTCATCCCCTCTACCACTTAGAAATTGTTTAAGGTATGGATGTCAACATGGATATATCTCTTATAACTCTTAAAACTTTTTCTAAGTATGAGCTTCTTTTTTATGGATTTCTCTATCTATTAGAAAACTTTTCTTAAAATGGATTCCTTCATGATTCCTCTTTGCATGTGTAATAACCCTAACTTTATATGGATTCCAAAATAATAAGAAGAAACAAAACAAGAATTTTTTATATATATATATCAAAAATCTGACAACTTTTTGGTTTCATGAGTGGATATATAATACTATCAATAACATTTAGTTTTTCATTAATAGTTTAATAAATTAACAGTTCAACATCTTAGACTTAAGCAATCATCATTTAACCAATGATTTTTCATACTTTCATTTAATCAAATCTAAGAAAAATACATGCAATGCAATTAATTATTCATAACAATTGAAATTCACATATCATATAATTTAGATAACAAACATAAATTTGTTGCATAAAAATTTAATAAAATAAATTATTATATTAACTTAAACATATAGGTAAATTGATGTTAATTACAATCTAAAAAGGAATTTCTCCATTAACTTATTCAACTAAGTAGATGTACAAATGAGACATCAACACTTCAACTAGGAGATATAATACTGAGATGAATATGCATATTAATTTATAAAAGTACTATAAAATTAATTAAAAAATTTAAGAATTTATACAACACTTTATCAATTTCTTTGAAATAACTCGCTTTTAAGGCTCTAATTCTAATTAATCTGATAATAAAATTTTATAATTTCTAATTTAACAGAGCATCAATTCCAAACCAAGAACTTAGTTCTATTAATCACCCGTTTCCAAAACTTTAATCCTATCATTAAAAAATTAGTTCAACCAATAACTCATTTACAAGGCACTAACTAAATTATTGGGAAAACAATCCAATCAATAGTCTATTCACAAGACACTAATAAACTAGTTTAATCAATAGCCTAACAAATGACTCAAGTGTCCTTATATATATATATATCAAATTCATTTTTATATCTTTAATTTAACCCGTTTTGTCTTTAAATATACTTAATTGATAATCCAGTGATTTAAGTTATCTTTGTATATCTAATTCAACCCATTTTATTTTTAAATATACTAAGTTTCTAATTTATGATCTTGACAAGATTTTAACAAAAAATCTACACGTTTTTTAATTAAAAATCTACACGTGACTATTTTTTATTATATAATACTATAGTGAGCCCATTAACATGACTGTTATGCATAAATTTAAATGGTGTGGGAAATCATTGTCTCTTTACATCCAAATTCATTGTCATTCCTCTGTTCTTCTTTTTTCATGTCACATTCATTGTGGATTACATCATTCCTCTGTTCTTCTTTTTTCATGTCTTTTTTCACTTTGTTTTTCCAATTTTTTTTCATTTATTTCTTTTTTCCAGAATTACTTTCATTTTTTTCCAACTTCCCTCTTTTTTTTTCATTTATTTTTTTATTTTTTTCCATAATTATCTTTATTGATTTTAGTTTTTAAATATTGAGCTTGTTAAAAATTTCACTTTATAATTTTTTTCTTTTAAAATATTGTGGATTGTTACAATGTTTTCTTACATAGTTTTTCTATTTTATTTTTTTGTTTTTCAAAATTATATTTATTGATTTTTTAACATAAAATTAAAGGATATAGGGAAATCACTGTTCCCCCACAAACCAATGCATTGTGGATCCTACAGTGCATTCCTCTCCTTTTTTTTGTGTTTTTTAATTTTTTTCCCAGCTTTTTCATTTTTTTTCTTTTTTTCTTTATTTTTTTCCCAAAATTAGTTTCCTTTTTTTTTAATTTCCTCCTTTTTCTCTTTTTTTTTTATTTTTTTTTTTTCAAAATTATCTTTATTAATTTTACTTTTTAAATATTGAGCTAGTTAAAAAAATTTCTTTGTAATTTTTTCTTTATAATATTATGGATTGCTACGGTGTTTTCCCACGTATTTTTTCTATTTTATTTTTTTATTTTTTAATGTAATGTTTTCTTTATGATATTATGGATTGCTAAGGTGTTTTCCCACGTAGTTTTTCTATTTTATTTTTTTATTTTTTAAAATTATATTTGTCACTTTTATTTTTTTATATTGAGCTACTTGAGATTTAGGTTTGTAATTTTTTCTTTAAAACATTGTTGATTGCTATAGGATTTCTCCGCATGATTTTATTTTTTATAATTTTCTTTATAATTTTCTTTTTTTATTTTATTTTTTAATATTGAGCTGATTAAAAATTACAGTTATAATATGTGAGAAAAATATTGTAACTTTGCTCACAAATTACTATGGATTGCTATAGTGTTTTTTCCCACACTGTTTTTTATGTTTTTCTCTAAAATTATTTTTGTTAATTTTATTTTTTAAATATTAAGCTAGTTAAGAATTGCAATTACAAGTAGATACAAGTTTTTCCTCACAAAACACTATGGATTGATACAGTTTTTCTTCACATAGTTTTTTTGCAGTTTTTTTATGTTTTTTTTATATTTTTTTCTAAAATTATCTTCATCGATTTTTTTTTATATTGAGTTTGTGGAAATTTAATTTTGTAATAAAGTTTAATTATATGAGGAAAATACTGTAGCTTTCCTCACAAAACATTGTTGAGAATTATAATTACAAGTCATTACAAATAAGACTAAATCATGCAGGGAAACACTGTAGCTTTTATCACAAAACATTTTGAATTGCTACATTGTTTTTAATATGATTTCTTTTCCTTTTTTTTGTTATTTTTTTCTACAATTGTCACTTTGAATTGCTACATTGTTTCTAATATGATTTCTTTTCCCTTTTTTTGGTGTTTTTTTGTTATTTTTTTCTACAATTGTCTTTGTCAATTTGGTTTTTTTAATATTAAGTTGATTAAAAATTTAACTTTGTAATTTTTTCTTTAAAACACTGTGAATTGTTGCATTGTTTTCTCATATGGTTTTTTTTCAAAATTATCTTTTTTGATTTTTTTTAATATTAAGTTGGTTAAGAATTATAATTACAATAAAACTAAATCATATGGAGAAAATATTATAGTTTTTCTCATACAACATTATGGATTGCTACAATATTTTTCTAAATGGTTTTTTATTTTATTTTACTGAGAAAAACACTACAGTTTTCCTCATAAAACATTGTCAATTACTACAATGTTTTTTATCATAGGTTTTTTTCCTACTAAAATTATCTTTGTTAGTTTTTTTTAATATCAAGTTAGTAGAGAATTTAACTTTGTAATTTTTTTTACTTTTTATTAATAGAAAAACTAAATCAGTATTATATTTTTTTTTCAAAACACTATGAATTACTACAAATCATTTTATTTAGTTTCTAAATTTCTTATCACTAACACAATTTTTTTTTCTTATTATAAAATATTAGTTTTATTATATATTTAGTTTCTATTATTTATCTAATAGTAATTTATAATTATAATATTATTAAATATATTTGTTTTATAAATCCATGTAACTCAGGCACATGCATCTCGTTTTTTATTATATAAAGATAGATTGAGCCCATTAACAATTTTTTTAATGCACAAATCAAGACGTGGTGATGAATTAAGAATTGATCAGAGAAGAAATTATTAAATATATTATGAGTCGTCATTTTTCCTAAAAATATGAGACCCATCATAAGAATGATCGGTGGATGTATAATTTCTTGAACAATTCCTTGATGCAAAGGCTCTCTTTAACTAGTGAAAGTTGGGGTATGTTTTCAATACAACACAAATTAAAAATAGTACAATTTGATTAAAGAAAGTGTTTACAAATACGTTATTGTTTTTTAAAATATTTTTTTGTTAAAATATATATATATATATATATATTTATTTAAAAAATTATTTTTAATATCAATATATTAAAATAAAATAAAAATTAATTTTAAATAAAAAACAAAATTTTAAAAAAATCATAAAATACATATTGTATTTCAACCCTAGATAATCTCTCTTCAGAAATTAGGAAGGTGAAAGTATGTTGGGAATCAACGACCTTGTTAAAGTTATTATTTTAATTTTTTTATTTTTAAATCATTTTAATATATTAACATAAAAAATATTTTTTTAAAATAAAATATTATTTTATTATTTTTTTTTATTTTATTATTATTTTTAAAAAAATACTTTAAAAAATATTGTATTTTCAAACATCCTCTAAATATTATTGAAAAATATATATTTAAGATTTATTTGAAGTTAATTTAAAGTTACGATAGTTTAGGGTTTATTTAAAGGTAATTTATAGTTTGAGTTAAAATGTGTATGTGAACCATGATTTTAACAAATTATACTAATTTTTTAAATATTAAATATTTATTCAATTCATGCTAATTTACCAAATTTTGTTAAAACTCTTTTAGTTTTCAAAAAAATTCGTGAATGTTGGGTCCAAGATATCCTTTCATTTAAACTTAAAAAAGAAGAAAAGGAAAAGGAAAAGGAGAAAAAAAAAAGGAAATCTTTATTATAATTTTTTAATTTCCCCATCAAACCTGGCAATATATTAATCAATCCATCGCCGTCCCTCCGATAAGGGGGAGAAAATGGAGAAGCAGAAAATCGGGGAGAGAGAGAGAGAGAGCAAGGGAATGGAGATAGAGGCAGAGTCTCGATTGGTTCGCTTATGCATAGAAGCAGCGTGTGAAAGCAGAGAAAGCGTTGAAAAATGGAGGAAACAGCGACGGACTCTCAATTCTATGCCTTCTCCTCTTGCCGACGCACTTCTCCGCCGCCTCTTCCTCCGCCGCCTCCTCTTCCCTTCTCTTCTGGAGTAAATCACTAAACTTTTGTTTTAGAACATAAATCTAGTTTGCTTGCTTGCTAATAGGAAGTTTAGGTTTAGAGATTGAATAATTAAGATTTTTTAAAACAATTTACGGTTTTGATTATCATAATCGAGTTTGTGAATATGGAATTCTCTTGCAATTGTTTATCGAGGTTTTTAATGATTTAATGGAGCTTGAATGGCTACAGTTGACAGATGAAAATTGAGATTTCTGTTAAACTAGATTTTTGTGGTTTTGTAGAGCTTTCAAACTTAGAGTGGAGGTGGTTGATCTTAAAGGTGAAAACAATGTGGATGCGGAGTGGATGGCGTACCTAGGAGCATTTTGTTACTTGCGCTCCTTGAATCTTGCTGATTGCCATAGAATCAATAATTCTGCCCTTTGGTCTCTAGTTGGTATGTTGTCTTCTTCATAGCAGTGATGAAACGATGTCTAATTTTTGTCAACTGTTGTTGTTGTTGAGAATTTTAATGTATATCCTGTATTTATTGGCTAGGGATGACTAGTTTAAAGGAGGTGGATATTTCAAGATGTGCCAAGGTTACTGATGCTGGTATTAGGCATCTTGTATCAATTTCAACTCTGCAAACACTACGGATTTCAGAAACAGGTGTAACTGCTGTTGGTATTAAACTTCTCTCCTCACTTACAAACATGTTTGTTTTGGATTTGGGTGGTTTGCCTGTCACTGATACAGCTTTGAGTTCTCTCCAGGTACTCATATTTTCATAACTTGAGTTTATGTTTTGAATCCTTTACTTAATTGTATTTGAATGTTCCTGTTATTGATTTCCTATGACTCGTTCATTTATGCCTGTTCCTTCAATATTTTTGGACAGTTATAAAATGCATAGCTAAAGTATTGGATCTGAATGCTCAAAACATTTGCTCTCATATTGTTATTGTTGAGAGATCTGAAGTCCATGCATCAAGGTTTCTTTGTCATTCTAGGGTTCAAATTGTATAAATTTTGGAAGTTTCTATTTAAGGTATTATTTGCCAGCTATCCTGTGCTATGTGAGTTTGCAAGTTATTGACTTTCATGCTATTGTTCTTTTAGGCGTTGACAAAGCTAGAGTATCTTGACCTTTGGGGGAGTAACATATCTAACAAAGGGGCTCCTGTTCTTCAAAAATTTCCCAAGTTGAAGTTTCTGGGTCTAGCCTGGACCAATGTTACAATTTTGCCAAATTTGTCATCTCTTGAATGCTTAAACTTGAGTAACTGCACCATTAATTCTGTACTTCAAGGTAATGGGAATAAAGCTCATTTGACTAAGCTGATATGCTCTGGAGCTACATTCACCAACGAGGCTGAAGCATTCTTGTATTTCGATACATGCTTCCTATCTTTTCTGGATGTATCCAATTCATCTCTCAATGGATTCTACTTCTTAAATCATTTGAAAGCAATGGAATATTTGGATCTCAGCAGTAGCATGATAGGAGATGATTCAATTGAAGCAGTTGCAAGTATAGGAGCAATTTTGAGAAATTTAAATCTCGGCAAAACAAGAGTCACCTCTGCTGGGGTGGCAATATTAGTTGGTCATGTTCCAAAGCTTGAGAATTTATCATTATCTCGCACTCTAGTGGATGATTTGGCCATGTCATATATTGGCATGATGCCTTCACTGAAGCTTGTTGATTTAAACAATACAATCATCAATGGTATGAATTCTTTCACACAGACAAAGTTATTATCTTTAAAAAAAATATTTATCTAATAACAGCAAATGAATTCAGAATTTGGGGCAGGCTGAATCATTTAATAAATGGCTTATTATCATCTGACAATGTCTGTCTAAAATCACATGGGTTTAGTACTTGTTTGTCACTTCTAATGTTTCCTATTTTCAGGTTTCATTCACCAGGATGGTGCTGAGCCAAATTTGATTTCGTCACTGACAGCACTACATAGCCTTAAAGGTTTGGAAAGTTTGAATCTGGAATGCGCCACCATCAAGGATGCAGCTGTAGACCCCTTATCAAGCTTTCAAGAATTGAGGCTTTTATCTCTCAAAAGTCCTTCCCTTACAGACATCTCCCTTTACCACTTGTCATCTCTACCAAAGATACGAAATCTAGGCATTCGCAATGCCGTGCTGACTGACTCTGGGCTATTTTCATTCAGACCACCAGCAACTCTTGAAATGCTGGACCTCAGGGGTTGTTGGCTCTTAACTGAGGATGCTATCTTGTCATTTCGTAAAAGACATCCTCTAATTGAATTAAGGCATGAGCATGTTGTCTCTACATCAGATCAAACTGCCCACCACCGTCTGACTCCACCACGAACATTTCTAAGACCTCCACAAGTAAACCAGAAACGGGAAAAGTTGATTGTGTCTCAGTATTTTATAGGTTGAGATGCTTACTGCAACAATTTCTGCTTATATGGCTTAAATCTATTTTTTCCTCATTCTCTGTTTTTTTTTTTTTTTTTTTTGTTCCCTTGGAAGTAGATCAGAGACTGAAGTATACCAGAGAGGAGCTTCTTGCATTACAGTTTCAATCCTCATCTCTCGGCTCTCCTTTTGACAAAAGCCATGCCAAACCCCAGATGCAGTCGGATTGAAAAGGTGACTTAAAGGTCAAATGCCATGTGTAATATTTTGTTGTTGTGACAACTACTGTACTGTATCATGCCAGAGCATAGGTGTTTTAGTTTTAAGTCTTCTAATGAGGCCAGTGTATTGATTTTTGTAAACTGTAGTTGGCCGAACTGTTTTGGGGAATGTAGTGAATTATTTAATTTAGGTGAGCAAGAGTGGCGTCCAGTGCAGGGCTGCACAGGCGAGTTTATTGGCAACTATCTTCCTGGAAAATTCCGTGCTTCGATTTGACTCCAGCCAAAATTCTGGAACTTGAACGTGCCAAATTTGGTCTACCAATTAGAATGCCTTAAACTCCAAGCAAGAGAAAACAAGTCCACTGAGAGGCTTGTTCCGTCCTGGAACTTAAATAATGCAGTTATGTTCTCATCATCATTGTAATATGATGCTGGTGATTGATAAAATCTTTTTTTCTTTTGTTGTAGATTTGTAATTTAAATTCGAAAGAAAATATCAGGACCATTTACTAATTGTCTGTTAGCTGAATATAATTTTTTCTTTTTCTCATTTTGAAGATAACTCTCGTCCTTTCGTAGAACGAACCAGTTGAGGAATTAATAATAAGGATGGGAGGCTGGGGAAGGTAGTGAATTGAGTTAAACCGACTGGGAATTGCTCAAGAATAATACTGAGCCTGCAACTAAAGGCATTTCTGATCGTGCAAATGAGTGGCTGTTTCATGGATTTGTGGCTAAAGCCTCACTTAGGTTGGTAGTCCTCTTAAAGCTCAAATGCTAGATGTTGCCTTCCTTTGTCTCAACCCTCAAGGTGGCATGGCTCGTGGACACAGGAAGGAATTTTTGAGATGTGATTGGAGCGACCATTGAGCATCCGATAATTCCAAATTAGGTCAAGACATTTATGAAGTTTTATATCCACCCACATTCATTCACCGGGAAAGGGAAAAGAAGAGTCATTGCCATTGTCACCCAAAGCAAAGATGCTACTCTTTGATACAAATTCAACGTTTATAAATAGAAATAACTTTACAGAAAAAAAAACAAAAAAACAAAAACAAAATGTAAATACTATCAACGGTCCTGCTAAACAAAATGGCTATCAAGATCCATGAAGTTATTTCTTAGGCGCTGGGCTTGCTTGCACTCTTGTACATGTTGTCGATAACATTCTGTGCAAAGAATTTTGGGTTAGTAATTTTCCACTCAAAAATTTCCTCTTGACCAACACAAGAACATTATAGTGTAACTTAACAATTCCTTCAAGATTCAATGCATGTCCTATGGCCTAAACTAAACGGGATGGTAAGAACCGAGCTCTAGAACTAGCTGACATGGCCATGAAATCGGTTAACCATGTTTCTTATATTGCATTAGTAAAGAAGGGGAAAATCAATAATGATTCAAGTCATTGTCAGTCCAAATTTCTGTTACTGAACTGAAGCAGTTAGTGCCAAATACAAACCGGTGTAATCAAATCCCCTAAAATAAAAAGAAGAGATACCTGGTAATATTTGAGAAGCTGGGGCCTCTTTTTCTTGTATGTTGGAGTGATGAGATTGCGCTCCATGTCAAATGGCTCGGGATCAAGGTGGACATCTTTTACAAGTTCAAAGCCCTTCAACTGCCAAAAGTAGTATTTCGGATCACAAAAATGTTCAGTTAGCTCTTGAAGATCTAACTATCTCTTTCAATAGGTTAACAAGATATGCTAAAAGCAAATTAAGTAGGAACCTTCTTTTCTTTCCCAATCTTGGTGAGCTCTCCAAGTATGAATTTTTTTGCCTCTGGATTTTCGCAAAGGGATTTAAAGTTCCCACTTATACCATGCTCTTGGGCCCAATGTTCCAGTGCTTGCTGATTGGGGTTGGCAACAGCAACAAGGAATGATTCAAAGCTGTTCCCATAAACCCATATCTGAAATTGAAAAGCAGAATGATTGCATAAGCAAGCAATGCAAGTCCTAGGAGGAATTGACAAAAGAAGCAAACAGATAAGACTCTCTAGCCAGTAATAGATTAAACCTATCACATAATTTATGAATCGTTAAGAAATTAGTAACTACTTAGTTCCAATATGGAATAAAAAGCAGTTCCTGCCATCTAGAAACTACTGCCATACTTATGAAAGGGGCGGAATCATAAAAAAAAATTATGATATTTGCTAGTCTACAGAAGAAAAACACATATCAGTGTCTAAATAGAAAGCTAAAGAAAGACATAGTTATCAACAGCCAAGATGCTCATAACAAATATTAAATGCATGGACATACTCAGAAAAAAAAAATATATCAAATAGTATCAGAAAGAAATATACTGAATCAATATCAGAAACAAGACTATAAATGTTCTCCAAGTTTTCAACGGCAACATATTCTCCTTGAGAGAGTTTGAATATATTCTTCTTGCGGTCAATAATTTTCATGCTTCCATCGGGTTGCCATTCACCAATATCCCCTGATGCAAAGATCATCATGAAAATGGTAAGATTAAGAAAATAAAATTAAATATCAGAGCCAAAGAATCATCACAGGAATAGTCTAGGAAAACCTGTATGGAACCACCCATCTATCAGGACCTCTTTAGTAAGGTCTTCACGTTTGTAGTAACCTGCAAACAGGGTCTTCCCCCTAATACAAATTTCTCCACGTGGTGTGCTTGAAAGAGCATCATACCCCACCTCAGGTACAGATTCTAGAAAAACATCCACATTTGGTACAGGAGGGCCCACTGTTCCAAGCATTGGCAATTCATTAGGTAGCGAGACAAAGGTCCCAGCGCAGGTTTCTGTCAGACCTGAAACAATTCAATTGCAAATATTTCAAGTCCTGGAGGCAGTAAATTATAACCACAAATTTTCCAACACTAAAGAGGAAATTGAAGAATTAGAACACTAGTATAGCTTGCATCAAATAATATGGAAAACATACCATATCCTTGCAGAACATGAGCACATGACACCACTCGCAGGAAAGCTTCTACATGATTAGAAAGAGGTGCTGCTCCAGATAAAATAAGCCGCACATTTCCTCCCAACGCTTGCCTCACCTAAGTAAGACACAGAGCCAAAGAGAGTTGAGTAAGCATAATTTTATTACAATCACTATTATGAGTTTTGGATCTCGAGGCAATCAGGATAGAAGAATAATTGCCTTATTAAAGACAATTTTGTCACAGATTGGAGATGCTTCATCATGTGCAAACCCCTTCTTCATAGAACTGAATTTGCTGCAGTAAATAATAAAAACAAATATTTAAATTTTGGCAATCATGTAATCCTAACAAGATGGCTAGCCAAATGTACCAACAACAAGCATAAGGGAACAATTATCTGTCTCTCTGAAGTTAAAAATGAGTGAAACTCAACAGGAAAGTCTTATCATGAATTGTTGTCCAAAAAAAGTACTAGAGTGTGGAACAGAACTTACTGTGAGTATGCTATATTGAATAATGTCTTTGTAAGAAAGCCACCTGTAGAAACTTTCTGTTGCAAACCTAAAAACGTGCACAGCAGTTACGATAGTTCTACTGTGGGAGATACACAATAACTATGCTTTCAATTTGTGGTATAAACATTGAATAAGAAAAATTTCCAAGAATTAACTCAATTCATTCCTCAGTTGAACAAGATGAAGATATTTAACAATTATGGAGCTCTAATTATTTATTCATTGAGTATGCTAGGGAAACATCATAGTGATAGCATTCTAAATAAACCCAATCCGAGTTGGCTTAAGGTGCCTAGAACACCAATCATTAACAAAGCATAAGGGTGTTAATTTATCCACACTGGAATGCCTCCATAATTAAATTATGCTCTTATATGGAAGTTGAAATAGCTGAATTTCAAGAACACATGGTTAGAAGAGAGTTTACCAGAATAAACTCTGTCTAAGACGCGGGGCACAGCACAGAAAATAGATGGTTTCAGCTCCCCGATGTCCTCGAGCAATAATTTTACATCCTACAGATTTGTGAGAAATAAACATTTCATGATTCTTAATTAGTGAGGCTGAATGGTTTTACCATCCCAATCACCTCTGCAATTTGGGACACCCATTGCATCCTTGGCAGTGGCATCATTCTCATGAAATCAATGAGAAGAAAAATGAAAATAAAAAAATCAAATAGGGCTTACCCCTCGCCAAAACCCTATAGAGGCACCATGTTGAATAAATAACTCCTCAATCACCCGGTCAAATATATGAGCAAGAGGAAGGTATGAAAGATATACATCCTTTGAAGTCAACTGCAAAATTTATACGAAACAAATATAAGTCATGTGAATATATTGGGTAGAAAAAAGGACAAAAAAAATTATGCTTCACGCGTCATATAATTGATGTCATATCTTCATCTATGACATGCACAGAATATAAGAGAAAATTACCGCTTCATTCACACTTTCTAGTAGCCGTTTCACCCCAGCTAGAAGAGTGACAATACTGTCATTTGAAATCATCACTCCCTTGGGATCACCAGTTGTTCCGCTAGTGTACATAATTGTACAGATATCCTCTTTCTTCTTCACTGGGAGTTCATATTGTTTGTTCTCCCCCTGCAAGGGACATATGAAAAGACCATTACTCGTTGGTCTCATTTAAGCTTAAATAAGAATCAGTAACTAAAAACAAACTTTAGAATCTAAGAAGAAAAGGCATCTTATTGTGGTTAATGAATGTAAATGCACATTAAATAAATATATTAATAAATAATAAAATTGAACCAAAACTCCATCCATGTTTCATCGCTGGCTTTCTATGAAACACAATTGGTGAGATACTAGAATTGTTTCTTGAAATTGGCAAAACAAGGAGATGGCACCCATCCATTAAATATGATAATAGATTATGAGCTCAAGTTTGCTAGCTAAAGGTTGAGATACAATACAGTACTGGTCATGAAGCATGCTTGCTACCAAAAATATTCCAAAAACACAGTTGGCATACAATATCATTCACAGAGTAACTTATCTGTGCATACATTTTCTAGCTCAAATTTTTACTAATATTGATGCAATTGTTGGATAGGAAAAGAGTGATTGAGAAAGACTAGGCTACCAGTTTTAAAAACTCATCCCAAGAGTATACTGCCAAACCAAATTTCTCAATCTCTTCTTTCTCTTTGGAAGCAACCTTGCCAAAGCTCACAATTGCTGCATAAGGAAATAAATAACAAAATGATTTCTTGGTAACATGGGTAAAAACCAAACAAAAAGAATCTGTGAATATTAACTTACTTTTCATGTACTGTGTGGAGTTGGGAAATGTTTTCAACAGCTGAGAGAACAGAGGAAACCACGGGTCAGTTAGAATGATATCAGCATGTAAGATTAAAATTCCTAAAGAGCTTGTATACCAGCTAATAGTGAACCTCTTGAATATTAAATTCAAGAAGACATGATGAAAAGCAGTGTTGTCAGTAATGGATTTTGGATGCATGGACATAAAACATATACCT